ATTAATAGCTTTTATTCAACCCATTGAGGAGAGGTGTTCTTGGGTCCTATGAACTGCAGGCGCCGAAACACCAGTGAACCATGACCTGCTTAAATGATGTCCCTAAACCACTAGAAGCAAAGGAGCAGTGTAATTTCAGTCTTCAAGGATATCAGTCTTCCTTCTGTCTTACACTACCGCCGTTTCGGTGGGTGTAAAGTAAGATATGAATTTTTCTTCCTCTACACTGTACGTTTTCGCCGTTAATACCCATTGAATATCATATATTGACGACGGTATGCAAAGGGTCCACTGGTGAAGTCTACCCCAGAACATGGGGGTTATGTTTTCTTTTTGTATGATTTAAGTAAGTTAGGCAAACATCACCATATATTAATTATCACAATCAAGCAGGCATCTACGGAATGTTCCCTGCAAGATTTAGCACGATAGGCACCACAGGTCGGCCCACGTCTGCGCTTGTTTCGCCTTTTTTGCTTGGGACATGATCCACGGTGCTCCTGTGCTCCTGATCAAGATATCGAAAGATCCTTAAGTTCAACAACTGATCTTCACAGAGTTTTTTTTGACCACGTCTGATTCCACGAACATAATAGGTGTTGAGCATTCTCGTAGCCGTCTTCTTCAAGACCTTTGTGCATGTGTGTTCTTTCTGTGTCGTGTGACCATTCAGAAGTATTTGCAACGTTGTGGATGATTGACAGAACAACAAGACCATTTTACATATCGCCAGTGAATCATCCGAAACACGGACAACAGCTCTTTCGGGATTTACGTTCGACCGTGTTGTTAATAGCCGCAATGACTAATAAATTCGACAGAATATGACATTTGTTTGCTGTGTATAAATCGAAGTCCCCATGGATGCATTGAGGTTGCAGCGGTAGCCGCAAAGTCATGCCATAATCTTTGAAGTAGTCGATTAACGGTGACAGATCTTTGTCTCTGAGGCCAATCTGTTTACGGTATGGTGAGGTAAGGTTTTGTCACACAACCCAGCTGAAGGATCGGATTTTCGACGTCTGATTCGAACAAGATGAAAAGTGTCACTCGCAACCTGTGATCAGATGCCCGTGATTAAGAATACGTCATGAGGTCTCTCTTCCTGCCTACGGATTGCGCAACTTCTATGCCTCTACCTGAAATTTCGCTAGACCCTTAACGCTGATGTATCACATGTCACGAAATGCTGTCTGAAAACTTTTTATGCTGCCTTTAAATCTGGCAAGAGATCGATAATTCGAAAGAGGACGGGCGAAACCGAACACTGCTGCGCGTAAGGTGAACTACCGTTTTCCGAAATACGCCGTAGCTACAAGAGCTGGATTAGCGAAAAGCTAAATCTTCAATTATCGTCTTCTTGCGTCGTTTGGCTACTTTCTCATGGGCCTGTCTGCTATTAACTCATCACCTCATCTCTGCCATGTCGATGCATCAAATTGAGTGACGTCTTGCCAAGGGAGGCTTAATCCAACGGCAGCTCTCTACGCTGATCCCGCTCCGTCGGCCATTACGATTTAAATTGAGACTTCTATCCGCGAAATCGTTTCCACAACTATCCTCTCAATCTTCATAAGACTTGGCAGGAGGGTCAGACAAAAGCAGTTCATCCATTCTCGGAAATAGTGCGATGACGGTGACCGGCTTTTACGTATTCGATTTCGGCGCGAAACTGGTTTCGACGGATTCATAAAAAGGCGCTTTGCTTCATTTCACTTCTTTCCTTTAAGATCTCATCGAAGGGCGTCGGGGTAAACATTCAACCGTTGAAACAACTTCACTCAAGTGATTGTGGTCGCTGGAGTTTTTCGAACCCAGAATTGCTCCTTGCTGTCGAATTATGTTGTCATGAAAAGGTAAAATGCATTTTTGTGCGTCACGGTAGCAATTTCCGTTCACGCCATGTCCCTCTCTTCCATCAGGTCAAAACCGGGCACTCGTTTCTATTCAAATAACTCTCTCCACCGACACTTCAAAAGACGTCTTCGGCTTAAAACTAGCTATCGATAGTCTAATTGCGACCTTATCATCAGAATCATAAGCTTTGTCCGATTTAGTAGTGGAAGAGGGCCTCTCCAAGATTTCGATATAATCTTCTGTTTTCTTTATCCATCTTGGTTCAGCGAATTTTTTCAGTTGATTTTGCCATAGATCTTGACTCTTCCGACCAGCCGTTTACTCTCGCTCTCTCTCTCTCTCTTTCTCTCTCTCTGTCTCTGTCTCTCTCTCTCTCTGTCTGTCTTTGTCTCTGTCTCTTTTAAAACCCCGGCCAAACAACGCTCTGGTCCAGCGAAGGTCTGTTCTTCTTGCAACGTATCGTTGTTACTTCAGCCTTTTCATTCGTGCAGAACTCGCAACAGACTTCTGTCTGTGTTCTTGTCCATTCATTCGTCTTCCTATCCTTTCTTGTTATTCGCAATGTACATCTTTCCATGCTACGTTCCGCAGTCTGTAGTTTATGAATATCGCTCACGCTGAGGCTCTACCTATCGCACCCATAGATTATCAGTGGGAGCATACACTGAGCTAAGACTCACCGTTTCAGGCATAAGAATAGTTTGCTGGATAGCAACATTTCTGATCCTGCAAAAGTACTCTGTTCCATGTCTAGTTATTTCTCCATTCCACGGAGTCAATTCTCCGTTTCAGAGATGAGCTGTGCCAGAAAGACGTAGTTTTTCACTTCCTCAAAATTGAGTTATTGTCTTGAACAGGTCGCGAGGTTGTGTATCTGTTAAACGTTCATTTTCTGTTCTACTCTGATGCTGACGTCGTTCAGCTGTTCGATTACTGACTGGCATTCTTTCGCAAATTGCGAGGACCAGATCATCGTCAACAAACCGCAGGTTGCATAAAAAGTGCCTGATTTTTCCAACAGAGTGTCTGGAATGCCTCTTCTTCTGCTGCTCTGAATAACCTCATTGATATTGCATCACCATGTGGAACGCAATTTTCGACTTTTAACCTGTCTTTGCTTTCGTGAAGCTTCCCATTTCTTGCAAATTATGGCGATGAGTTTTCTGTAGCTTTTCTCTATTCCTTGGCTCCTCAACAAATCCACGTCATAACTGATGTAGACTGAGTCGAATGCCTCCAGACAGAGAAAAAGCCGCTATTCGTTGCTTGTCTCAATTGCTTGTTTTGCCACCTGAAGACGATCTGTCGTGTTAAAACGATCTCTGATTTCCGCTTGCTCATTTGGCAGTGCAGAGTCCAGTTTTTCTTGAAGTTTGTTCATCGGTACCTTCCTGAAGATCTGGTAGATGTTCAGGAACAAACTAACCGGCTTACAGTTGCTCAGATCCTCTTTGCCTCTTCTTTTGTAGAATTGAACCACCTGTGTAATGCGATTCAGTTTTACGTTTAATTTTGTATTTTATAACCGTTAGATTTTTCCCAAGGCTAAGTTCCGAACGTGGTGCTTTTTGCATGCTCAACTACGCTGTTGAAGCTCTTGTGATCGTAGGAGTCGCGTAATTCGTTGCGACCTTGACTTGATTATTACAAAACGTCTTTCGTGTCATAAATATGCTAAAAAAAATTTTCTGTTCGGTAAACTATATCACCCAAGCGCTTGACGTTGACAGTAAGAATAAATAGAGTTACCATGAGACAGGCGTGTCTGTACGTGGTTGTTCAAATAAACAGTTGTAAATGCCTTTGCTTGCGAACGGTACTTCCGGTACGACCATTGAACCCCTGGCTTCCATGGTGAAGCCAGCGTTGCGACTCTATTGAGTCATCGGTGTGTCTTTCCATCAACGACTAAACAATCAATTTCCAGTCATAATCGTTATGGCTCCTGTCACGAAACCCCATCAGTTTTAGAACTTAATAATTCGAAATGTCCTTGCTCCCGATCCACTTAGACGGTGAAAAGTATGATTAAAAGGCCAGAGAAGAGATTCACAAAGAAGAACCTCTTCGTTAAGGTATATCATAGTTAGACAGGACAGACTGAGGTCCCGGTAATTCGCGCCCGTCGAATACTTCGCATGTTTGTTTTGGTATCTGTTCCATAGAGTCTTCCTGATTGGCATGAGACTGAACCACCAACCTTATGAGGCTGCGGCTCTCCATCGTCCATAACGAAAAGAAAATGTTGTCCATGAATATAGACTGAGGGTACAGGTGTTATACTGCAATGTACAAAGTGAAACTGCGTAGCTACCGTGATAGCATTTGTAGGAATCTTTCATTGGCTGTCAGATGCCCAACTGTCTCCAGTACATGTGACGTTGACATTCTTGTTATGGTCGCAAAGTCGCAAGACAGTCGTTTATAGAGTATTAGCTAAACCCCAAACGCTCCGGTCGCTTTCCTATTGATTTCGAACCAGAAATTAATATTTATTTTGCAATCTTTTGACTGTCATGTTCGGAACTCATGCATAAGCATACTCAGTAGTGTCCGAATGACAGGCAATATTTTCGCATCTATTTGAGCGTAGAATCTTTAATGGATTCCGCATGAACTGCCCGTAGTAGCGTCTCTCCTCATCGTTTACGGCAATAAGCTAAGCAACGGTATAATTGCCTCATCCTCGTTGTACAGAAAGCATATTATCAATTTTAGCCATGAAAATGGGCTTTTCTAAACACCTGTAGTGTTTTTCGCTTCTTCAGTCAGTGTTCCTACTCAGCTGCAGTCTTTCTTCTGTGTTTGCTGAATTGATTCTACAGTGTCACATTTCCAGAAAAGCTTCTCGAAACAGGAAACCGATCTTAGGAAACAAAAAACTTCCGTTTGTCATTTGTATCGTTTTACTTAAAGGCACTAAAAGAGTATTCAAAGAGACTTTTACACGTTTCCAACTGAAATCACTCTTACCATTATCACATAATTTAAATGCCCGCTGTCATTTGACGCTTTACACTAGGTAACGGTTGGAAGTATTTTGTGGTCATTAGATCGATTTAATTCATGCAATAACAGTAATTAATTTCTTCTTCTTAACATAGGTCTTAACATAGATCATTCGGAAACGGCTGCTTTTCTCCGCTTCTTCATTCGTCAGGTCAGTTAGGGAGCATGCGTTGTTCGGAGTGTTCGCGGGGCAGACGGCTTGGAGAAAAGATTTCATTTTAGTGGAGTCCACTGTTCCACAGCCTTCTTTCCATTGTTGTGAGTAGTGTATTTCTACTAAGCAGATTCGCGTTTGAGGCATAAAGAGGTCTGCTGAAGCCATGCTACCACGTCTGCCTATCCTTTTAATGTCAATGACAAGTTTCTGTTGCTGAGCAAAATGCACTCAGCTATACTTCGCCGTATATGCGATGTTTTATTCTTGTTTTTGCTCATTTTCTGCACAATGGACACCGAGGTTTGCTTTCGAAGAACACTCATATTTACATACAGATTTTTTTCACACAACCTCACGAAGTACTTTCCGCTGTTCTTAGGGCATACGGTATGATGGAATAATCTAAACATGCTTTCTACCAGATTAATAGAGATTGCCGCCTGTCGCCTGATTTTTCCATCCTCCATTGTAATGAATGACCTTCTACGTACAGCTCTGGAACTTTGTTAAAGTAGGATTTATGTTATGTGAAAAAGGAAGAAGTGGAAGATGAACAAATGCAACAAACGGTCCATAGACATCACGCGATACAAACTCTGAAAGGATTCGATTCGCACAGGTTGCTAGGGGCTGTAAGTCTGGCATAATTTGAGCAAATATTAATACCTCAAACAGTGACAAGGTTTAACGATCATTGTGGATAATCGAAAGTTAGGGCAAACACGAAAACTTTATTCAATATCCGAAGAATGATAAGAAATGTACTAAAATACATAAAAATTAATAAACATAGACGCAATTAATGTTATTGTGTTGATTGTGAGCATATTTAGATGTTGCTGTGTCTGATTCTCTGACAACCACTACTAAACACATTTCGCTGTTGACAGTTTCGTCGTAAATTAATACGGACCGACTACGCAATGTACGCAGTGCCTGGCCTGTGACGTTCGTAACAAACCTGTCCGTACTTTTCCGTCTTTGCCTATGCTCATCAGGGGATACTGACAAGACTGCAGCCGCTATAAAACGGTGTCTATGAAAATAAGCTGTGCCGAATTGTCGTACCAGTTTGGTGGTATGGAAAACTAGTGGACTGTGGCGTTATTTCGTGGCAGGTGTTCGTAGTTCCGCCAATGAGAGTGAGGCAGTGGTTCTGTTACAGACACTGTAATAGTACCTTACATTTGATGACAGATGAGGAACTTTGACGTATCGCTTAAAAACGGTTTCGACCTCCTGTCTGAGTTTAGGCGTAGTATTTGCCTGCGAGTGAGACATTTCAAATGTTAATGGACGTGAAGCGGCGCAGAACAAAATTTTCGTAGAACAAAATAGGGATGCTTAGAGATTGTCGAATAAGGGCTGTTGATGCAGCAGTTCGTGACTGCACTCATTTAGACCGTTCAACGTCATCGCTATTGGGCGCAACGTTTTCGGCATCGTTCATACTTATTGCTGCAAACAGCGTATTGTGCATTACTACCTTAATGGAGAAGAATTACGTTACGTTCATTCATTTATTAGTTCTTTCACTCATCCTTCTGTCCGTCCTTCATTCACTCGCTATTCATTCAGAGCAACACTTTATAGTAGGCATAGAGAGATGTATGGTAAAACCGCAAATTAAGTTACTGAAGTTAATCCAAATTGCCTAAACGAACATCATTTGTTTTCTCATTTGGTAAAGCTTCTGATCATCTTTCATCACTACCCATAATTGCTCACCCCAGATGATCAGTACCATCAACTGGTTTGGTGCTATCGTCCAAATAAGACAAATTATTATCTTCTTTCACACGTCATATTTAGGCGTTCAACGTATGCCTTAGACTAGGCTGTTTCAGAATTGCGATCTCACTCTGATTCGTTCAGCACGGCTTCTGATATGGATCGATATTATCGCAATGTCTGAAATTCGCCTTTCTCGCATTATTCACTTCTCTGCCAGCTGATTCGCACTGTTCGTAGTCATTTCTTTTGACCACAGGTTTGATATAAGCAATGACTTGCTCATGGATATCAGTCATTGAATCCGTGGCGTGTTTTACGTGCAGTCGATCCAATCATCTGACCTAAACATTCGCTTCTGACCATTGTCCACCATGTACTAGTTTGACTACATTCCTGACAGTTTTGCTTAACACCGAGACAGAAGCGGTTCAGGATTTGATCGGCTGGTAGCGCCCCATTGAGTACGTTCAACAGTACATCGGTATTTCGTTGAAATGCATGGCTTTTTGAGTGACTGTTGAATCTCGATGCGAAACAGTTGTTTTTCTTATAAGAGAAAAAATTCAGTGGATGATTTGCATGTATTTTACTGAACACGCCTTGTCTAATGTTTTAGAGAGATGGCTGCAGAGTAGCTACTACTTTACTAACACTAACCTTGCTAGAAGCGATGCTGTTGTTGCGGCTGAGGTGGTCGCAGCGGAGAAAGCCACCGCCGAAGTGGCGACACAGACAGACGGACCATCGTCGTTGGCGAACGCCCTGTTGTTCGTGGCCGATTCGGGTCAGCACTCGTCCGAGATGACCGATGATGTCAAAAGAACGTCGCACGGTGGCGTGACGACAGGTTGTACTGACCACCGTGGTCCCCGAGCTAGCAG